TTTCTAGCTGCAACCGGACATTTGCTTAACAGCGAAGATTTGGTTGTTCCAGCAGAAGTACGATCCTTCTTACTTCAACTGGATAAAGCTCTAGGTTCATCTCAGTTGCTTTTAATGGGTTCTATTGCTAATTGCACCCTATCTAAAAGAGCAGAGTTTCTTGAAAACATTTCTGTTGCTGAGCCTTTGAAAGATTTTTTACTGAAATCTCCACTACTGAAAACACTGACAAGATGTTTGGTTTACCCTTACAGCGGGTTCAAGAGGAACTCAGCAAAAACCCTCCTCCAGTCAAAGTTAGTGTACAAGTTACTAATGGCAAGAGGTCGGTTAATGCTACATCTAGTTCTACTAGTACTTCTGCTTCAGGTGGTCCTCCTTCTGCTAAGAAAAGGAAGAATAACTACGGCAAACCGAAGAACAAACCCAATAACTCCGGAAAAAGCTCAGGTAAGCCTTCTGGTGGTTTTAAGGGTCCCAAGAAACCTAGGTTCTTGCCCCCTCGTACGTTATTGACAGCTTCCCCAGGGGAAAATTTATACCAGTAGGGGGGAGGTTAAGTTTTTTCCTAAATCAGTGGAAGAAAATTACCTCAGACTGTTATGTGCTGTCAATAATTCGAGGGGGATTAACACTTCAGATCAAGAACCCACCTCCTCTGTCTGTAGTTCCGATAAGTTTGTCTCATACTCAAGACCCAGTCAAGTATCAACTTCTATCAGTAGAAGTGGACACAATGTTACAAAAATCTGCAATAGAGGAGGTGTCGCTCTTAACTCTGTCTCCGGGATTTTATTCCCGTCTTTTTCTGGTTCCAAAGAAGACTGGAAGAATGAGGCCGGTCATAGACCTATCTATTCTGAACAACTTTCTTATTGTTCCCCATTTCAAAATGGAAACCAACAGATCAATCAGGGCTTCAATCCTTCCAGGAATGTGGACTACTTCTCTGGATCTTTCAGATGCTTATTTCCACATTCCCATTTCCCATACTTACAGGAAATACCTTCGCTTCGTTTGGAACAACAAAGTTTTCCAGTTCAAGGCTCTCCCTTTTGGCCTGTCTACAGCCCCTTTGGCTTTTACCAAAATCATGCAGGCAGCTATAGCTCACCTACATTCCCTGTCTATTCAGATTCATTCCGACCTGGACAATTCCCTTCTCAAGGAATTTTGCCCAATCAAATTGAGAGTTCAGACAGATTTGGTCATCAATTGTTTTCTGTCCCTAGGCTTCCTAATCTCTTGGAAAAAGTCAGAGATAATTCCTTCTCAAGACTTTGTTTTCCTGGGAGAACATTTCCTAACCAGTGTAGGCCTAGTCCTCCCACCAGAGGAAAAATTTACAAAACTATGTCAGAAAATACATTTATTCCTGACGGTTCAATCAGTCACAGCACGTCAATTCTTGCAACTTCTGGGTCTATTGAACTCTCTGGCAGATGTAATTCCGTTGGGACGACTTCACATTCGTCCGCTTCAGTTTTATCTGCACAAGTTATGGATTCCAGCTTCACAAGAATGGGAAGCATTGATTCCAATCACTCAGCCTTTATTTCCACACCTTCAATGGTGGTTAGTACGGGAAAATGTAATGAGGGGCCTATGTCTGTCCCCTCAAGTTCCCAGTCTAACATTATTCACAGATGCCTCCACCCTCGGTTGGGGAGCATATCTGGAGGGGCTTACAATCTCAGGAGTTTGGAATCCAGATCTTTTGGAAGGGCATATCAATGTATTGGAAATGAAAGCAGTTCTGTTTGCACTGAATCATTTCCAAATGTCTCTAAAGAACCAGTCTGTCATTCTGGCCACGGACAACACAACAGTTGTAGCTTATCTCAAGAATCAGGGAGGAACTAATTCACCTTCTCTTTATCAGATAGCCAGAGACATTCTCCTTCTGTGTTTTCAACTCCAGGTTCATCTAGTGGTGAGACATATTGCGGGGCACCTCAATATTCTAGCCGACACTCTATCCAGATCCCTTGCTCCAGTAAACACGGAGTGGGAACTACTTCAAGTAGTTTTCAAAGCTGTGACTCTTTATTGGGGGTCACCTCAGATAGATCTGTTTGCGACCAGTCTCAATCACAAACTTCTAACATTTGTGTCTCCGGTTCCAGATCCAAAATCTTTTGCGGTAGACGCAATGAGCCTATCTTGGAAAGGAATGTTCAGGTACGCCTTCCCTCCTTTCAGGTTTCTCTCCCCAGTACTTCAGAAAATAGCAGGGGAAAATTGCAAGATCATAGTTATTGCTCCAGCATGGCCGAAACAGTCTTGGTTTCCAGACCTTCTGCGCCTATCATGTGCTTGTCCTCTAGTTCTACCTCTGAGACCAGACCTTCTGTCTCAAATCAAGGGCAAGGTTCTTTATCAAAATCCAGAAAAACTTCATCTACACGCCTGGCTTCTCTCAGGGTTAGCCTCAGAAAGAGAGGTTTTTCTGAAGGAGCAACCAAGCATCTCACAAAGTCTGTCAGAGACTCCACTAGCATTGTCTATGATGCAAAATGGTCAATCTTCTCAGATTGGTGTAGTGAGCGGGAAATTGATCCTTTCCAAGTCACTGTACAACAATTAGCAGACTTTCTAGTTTTTCTTTTTGAATCCAAAGGATTATGTCCCTCTACTATTAAGGGATATAGATCAGCTATTTCAAGAACTATTCATATTTCTGGTGGCCCAGATTTTGGAAACAATGAGCATATTTCTCTTTTGGTTCGTAGTTTTAGTCTTGAAAGACCAAGACAAAAAACTTTAGTTCCTAAGTGGGACCTTGGACTAGTTTTATCCTTTTTAAAACTTCCTCCTTTTGAACCAGCAGAAACAATAGATTTAAGGTTTCTTTCCTATAAATGCTGTTTTCTTTTAGCTTTGGCTTCTGGACGGAGAAGGAGTGAAATCCATGCCTTCTCTATTTCTGATGCTTGCCTTCAATTTAACAGGGATAAATCTTCTGTTACTCTTTTAACGGATCCTGCTTTTTTGGCAAAGAATCAGATTCCAGATAAGGGTGCAGAACCAGTCGTGATTCCTGCACTCCCTAGCGATTCTATTTCTGTACTTTTATGTCCAGTAAGAATCCTTTCTATTTATCTGGATAGAACGAGTAGTTTACGTTCTGTTTCTAACTCAAGACTCTTTATTCCTATTAAAAAAGGAATCTCAGATCTTTCTGTTAAAACTATTTCTACTTGGATATGCAAATGCATTTCTTTAGCTTATGGTTCTTCTAAGGCAGAACTTTTATATAGTTTTAATGTTAAAGCTCATGATGTTAGGGGTATCTCTACATCCTGGGCTCTGTTTAACAGTGCATCTTTAGAAGAGGTACTGTCTGCAGGTTTCTGGAGAAATGAGAACTCTTTTATATCTCATTACCTCCAATCTATGGCTACTTTTGCCGAGAGTTTATATTCTCTTGGACCTATAGTTTCAGCACAAAGATTGAACTTTCCTCCTGTTTCTTCTGTTACAGGGGATTCAGCTTTATGTTAGATTCTGTTACTCAGAATTTATGATGGTAACGTATTTATAGCTATAAAATATTCAAATTTTAAAGTAAATTTGGATTTTATTAGATAAATACTTATCATCATAAATTATAGGTCCCACCCACCTCCCCTTCATCCCCTTTCCTTACGTTTCTGTCTTGAGGAAATTGAATGGGAGAATATGGGCAAACAGGGGTATATGTCCGGACCAGTGAGAGTACGTTTATTTTTAGTCGGGATTTTCCATCTGACCTATGACGCAATTGGGGTTACACTCAGAATTTATGATGGTAAGTATTTATCTAATAAAATCCAAATTTACTTTAAAATTTGAATATTTTATTCATTAAAAAAGGGGGATTTTCCAGTTTTCGGATAATAACTCAAAAAGTGCTTTGAGCAGTTTTCATGAAACTTTGGTGACTGGTTTATATCTATTAAAATAACCTCCTTTTAGTTTTTTTATAAATTTCTGATATGATATTTAGTAGTAATGGAACTTTATTCTTTGAAAAAGCGACAGGCGTATCATGCGCTCATGGCACAGCTCTTTATTTATTCTTGAGAAATATTTGTCTTTATTATGCCCCCAGCAAACAAAAGTTGCAATAGATATATAGATATCAACATAATTATTGAATATGTTTACAATCTGTATTTACAGATGAAGGTAGAGTTTTTTTTCTAGTTGAATCAATTTTCACAGAAATTTGGCCTGTCATGAGTTACAAAATTTTAGCAAATCAGCAAGATCAAGATTGAGCTTTATTCCAGATAATCTATGCATCCAGGAAATATATCCTGTGGAAAAAACTTACAAGATTCTAATAATACTGCGACTGATTGCAGATATATATATGCTATACATGTACCAATTCTCTTAATAAAAATTTTTTATTGAAGTTTCATTTATATTTGACTATCTTGAGTTGAGTACTTTATCTGATTCTGCATTTGAAATTCACCACAAGGAGGTATTAGCCAACATTTCTGAGGAACACCCATTAGTACAAACCCTGCAAATCAAACTCCAACAAACAGACAAGAGAGGTACCACAACTCTCATTAGCGTACAGCACAAAAGACTAGCAAAATGTAGTGAAGGAGACATGTGGAACTGTATTCCAGTATGTTCAAAAATATGCACAAAATTTATATAGCTTTTCTTATCTTTATATAATGATTATGAAAAAAAAACATAGCAAAAACATGAACGTAATGTAATTACAGATTACATACATTCAAAAGGCAAGGACTACTTGAATGTCAAATATATGTGTACATTTGTATGTTGTGGAAAAGGTAAATTTTCCTACCAGTCATTTGTTATGGTATGCTGTGAATAGCACAACAGAATTTAAATCTGCCTCATCTGGTAAAAACATAATCCTTGATATTAAGCTTGTAATGAAACACTATTTCCAACAAATATTTTTCCTTGTGAAGACAAATCAAAAAGGGCATATGTTAAATGATTCAAGATTATTTTCAATTTTACAGATGGAAAGATCCAGAAGTTTATGCTCACATTGAGAAACATAGTGTCTCATGGTGTCTGATTGGTATTAAATGGTTTATATGTTTATTTGCTGATGTTTTACCAGTAGAAGTAAGTAATCACATCCCACTATTTTAACCATTTGTTAATCTGTATTTAGCTATATACCAAAAAGGGAAAACATTACTACATTACATGTAATCCATGAACATGACCACTGTATAGCCAACATGACCACTGTATAGCCAACATGACCACTGTTACTGTACAAGAGTAAAAACAGTGACATGCAATTGGGTAAAGATGCTTAATTCATTTCAGGTAGCCGGTAATGGTAGCCTTTTCTTCCATCCCTCTGTCCATATCGTAAACTTGGATATGTATGATGGCTCGAAGCTGAGACATTTTCACTGATGTGGTTAAATTTTCTGTGTAAGAAGTGAGATTAAATTTTTCACAAATTGGGCCACACCGAAAGGCCCCACGTAATGCCTCTTCAGCATGTGAAAAACACTTTTTTAGTCCCCTACCGACGAAGTCGAAGGGGACTTTAGGTTTGCACTCTGTCCGTCTGTCCGTCTGTCCGTCTCCGTCTGTCCATCCGTCAGTCCGGCTACTCAGTTTTCCACACTTTTTTCTTCGTTCTTGAAGATATTGATTTGATATTTGGTATATAGTTTTATCATGACAAGTTATAGATCAAGTTCGAATTTTGTTCCCGTCTGAGGATTTAGTCCAGAGTTATGGTCCATAAAAAAACTCCATAACTAATGTAGAGTACTGTTAAACCATATATCTGTACAAAGGGAGATAACTCATTTTTTAAAAGACATTCTTTGGTAAATTGTTTGGGGAATTTTGTGGCAGGTTTATATGTTATTTTGTATAAACTAATTTTCTGAATGCTACATGTATATATATATATATTTTTTTTATTAAGTGAAATCCTTTAATTAGATAATAATCTATTTTTATTAAGGTATATATTTCATTACATTACATTGTGTAGATAAAAGTTGTTTACATTTTATAGATAAGTTACAAATCTATATTAGTTTGTGACAAATGAAAGAAAAAAATTTTTGGAACTATTAATCATATTTGATTGTAATTTGCAAATAGATATACATAGTATTACATCATACCTAATTTTAGAGAACTATTAATCATATCTAATGTTAGAGTGTTATAGGTTTTCCACACTTTTTTTCATCATGCTTGAAGATATTGATTGACAATTGGTATATAGTTTTATCATGACAAGTTACAGATCAAGTTCAAATTTTTGTTTCCGTCTGATAATTTTGTACACTCATATATTCAGTTTTCCACACTGTTTTTAGTCATGCTTGAAGATATTGACTTGATATTTTCTTTTTGTTTACACCATGACAAGTTATAGAACAAGTTAGCATTTTGTTCCAGTATAATGAATTTTTACCCGGTAGGGGACTATGTATTGCCATGCAATACTCTCAGAATGCTTGTTTTTTATAACAATAACATATATTTTTATTCAAGCATTTCCTGATATATAAATACCTAAGTAGCCCAGGCCGCATACTTATTTTCACATAATTAAATTCCCTGGAAGTTCAGTTCTTTACAAACATTTAATAACTCCAAAGTTTTTACATCTTTATTGTACTTTATTTTGCTCTTCAAAAAAGCACAAATGGTTAAGCTCAGTCAATTACTAAAAATAACATAATACCCAATAACCTTGCATATGGGTTTTTTATTTCTATCTATAGTTGAATACCTCACTTTGTAGCACATTAGGGATATTCACCCAATTGTCCCACAGGCTACGCTTTGTTGGGGACGTAGAAATACTGCGTGTTTGTCCGTCTGGTATTTTTTCTAACTACTGCTGCTCACTAACTATTATAGTTTCTTTTACGAAATTAAAAAATAGGTAAAATGGTCATTTTTAGGGCGGGAAATATCTCCACAAGGAGTCAATTAACAATTCCTGCCATATTGACTTATTTGTAGATCTTATTATGCTTATAATGCTTACAAGATCTACAAAAATGTCACTAACATAACTAAATAATATTTACAAATGAGCAAATGTAGCTGATTGCATTATTTGGTAATTATAGATTATCAATGGTTTTCAAACGAGAGGGTGTTTCTCAGATACAATCTCATCGAAGGGCCACATTCTTGAGTTTGAAAGACCATTGATAACCTGTTTATCGCTATTTTCCCTTTGACATCATTGAAGTTTACATTGACAAGGGCATGTTTTCCCTTAGTTTCTAGCATTAATTTTATATCTCAAGCCAGTAGCATGATATGAAAAATTATCACAAAAAAAGATAAATGGAAAAATACACAAAATAGTGTTAAAAATAGATATCATATTTTTATCAGGTGAGCTATTCAGGTTAAAAAGAGCTTCTTGTATTGTACCCTCTTAATGTTCATATATTACTGTATCCTTTCTGGTATTTATCTGGTAATAGTGTACCTTTAATGGTGTTTTGGTGGACTTACTGAACCCTTGTATTGTACCCCCTTAATGTTCAGATATTACTGTATCTTTTCTGGTATTTATCTGGTATGAAAGGTACACTATAATGGTGTTTTGGTGGAATTACTGAACCCATGTATTGTACCCCCTTAATGTTCAGATATTACTGTATCTTTTCTGGTATTTATCTGGTAATAGTGTACCTTTAATGGTGTTTTAGTGGAATTACTGAACCCATGTATTGTACCCCCTTAATGTTCAGATATTACTGTATCTTTTCTGGTATTTATCTGGTAATAGTGTACCTTTAATGGTGTTTTGGTGGAATTACTGAACCCTTGTATTGTATCCCCTTAATATAAAAAAAGGAAATGTGGTATGGTTGCCAATGAGACAACTATTCAACAAAGTTCAAATGAAGTGGATGTAAGCAATTATAGGCAACCATACAGCCTTCAACAATGAGAAAAACCCATACTGTATGGTCGGATATTATAAAAGGCCCAGACATGAAAAATATGAAACAATTCAATTGAGAAAACTTACAGCCTTATTTATAACAAAACAATTTACAAAAAACAAATATGACAGACATGAACCAACAATAACTACTGAACTACAGGCTCCTGACTTGGGACAGGAACATGTGGCGGGTTTAAACATGTTTGTGAGCGCCCAACCATCCCCTAATCTGGGACAGTGGTGTAACAGAACAACATAAGATCAATCTATAAAATTCAGTTGAAAAAGGTTTAACTCATCAGATGGATACAAATAGAAATACATCTAACAAAATCACAAAGTAGACGTGGACGGGTACTTATACATCCCCACAACAAAAAGAGACCTAGTACAGATCTGAGAGTACTTGCAGTTAATGACAGTTAGTCCAAAGCCAATAACAACTAATAAAAAAATGATGTATCTAAGACTAAAATATCAATCAGTACACATCCAACATCCAATGGATTTAGTGTAAAGATGTCATTAACAGTCAGAGAAAAACATGACCTTGTGCAATGCCAAACTATAGGTATAGACAGATTGTAGTACCGTGAAAGAACATATGTGTAATATTTAGTATGGTTTTAATTTACTGATAACAAAATCAATATTTATACCAATAAAAACAATATTCAAAGATTTAATTACAGTGTGGAATAGGTAACCTTTTAGAATAAGTTTATTTAAAGAATTAATAAGTTTACCTGGATCGTATCTAAATTTCCAGGCTCGGTTAACAACATCACCATAAAGTTTAGGATGTGCTATTCCGTTTGAAATAAGTTTTCTACAGGTACAGCCAACTTGCAGACCAAATCTTTGTATCTATGGAAGAATTAGGAAAGATTTTAAGTAATTTGTGGTAACGAAATCGCTGACTTAATAATTTACTAGTAATTCATAGATTACGCTCATTGAAATACAAAACGTCACCACAGACAGGAGCATAGCGAACGAGTTGGGATATTTAAACACCGTAAGATGGTGCCAAAGGATCATCACTGTCCAAAAAGGGAAAATTAACAATAGGGAAAGAAAAATCATCCCTTTTGTCTTAAATTTTTGTGTAGAGTTTCTGGTGTAATACTGAAATATCTAAATCTAGGAAAGGATAGTTATTGCTGTTAATATTTGATTTATTTAAAGTAAGTTCCTTTTGGTAAATTTCAGCAATTTATTTAGAGAATTCTTGATTATTTATCGAAAAAATATCATCAAAATAATGGTAAGTGTTAAATGTTTAATTAATTAATTAAATGGAGTTTAGACGGTTCTTTACTGAGTTTGGCCATAAACTGTGATTCATAACAGTAAATGAACAAGTCTGCTATTAAAGGGGCACAGTTGGTGCCCATAGGAATACCTACAACCTGTCGATAAACTTTATTGCCGATATGTACATAAATGTTGTCAAGGAGAAAATTCAGTGCTTTTATCATCTCATCACACATCCAGTAAGTATATTTAGCATATTTACCTTTCTCATTAGAGAAAAAGGCTTTATATGAGTTGCAGCAAATAAATTTGCAACCAGATTTATCGAACGACCATTTAATTATAGGAAAACTTAATGTTCAGATATTACTACAGTCATTTCCAACGTCATTATAAAAACTTATCTTTATGTTTACAAAAGTCTAACTGTGTTCTTTTTATCATGTTGAAACAAGAAACAAACAAAAAATGAAGGGCACAAGTTTACCTACAACAAGAAAATTTCTTCAACTATAAAATATTCCTTTATTTCATTCCTTTAATTTTATAATCCTTGAAAACATTAGATGGTGTACTCAAACTATAACTGTGTAATCCCACATTTTTATACAAATTTATACATGAAAAAACCCTGATTTTCTTACAAACTAGCAAGAGTTTTATATTTTCCAGTATAGATAACCTATCTGTGTACAAAGTTTTTGAGTATTGATTTTTTTTTTCCAGACAGTATATAGAATATGGGACTGTTTGTTTTATGAAGGTGCTAAGATATTATACAGAGTTAGTGCAATGTTAGTCATACAGAACAGAGACAAATTATTGGCTTGTAAATCATTTACAGAAATAACGGATGTTTTTAAAGAAATTGTGAATAATCCGACTATTGTGGACTGTCATACATTCTTACAGGTACATTTTATTTATAGATTTCACTAATAAGTTTATAGAAACTGTCCATTGACCATTGCTTGATTATAGAAATTGTCCATGATTTGACCATTGATTTCTTTAAAGAAATTGACTATCATGGACTGCCGTCACTTGCAGCAATTTCTGCAAGTAAATTAACAACAATAATCAATGGTGTGTTTGAAAAAATTCATTAAATCTTTAATATATCAGACTGAAAACAGATACCAGAATTATAACTTTTTATGCCTATCACACTTTTATCTACATAAAACTCATCAGTGACAATTGATCTAAACAGAACGCCAAATTAAATACAAACTTTTAAGAGCATCAAAAAATGCAAATTCCAAACCGGTGTGCAAATAATATGATTTGTATAGTAGGAATTGGCTAATTAAATGCATTACCCTTTGTTAGATACGAAAAAAGAGAAAGATTCCAGAGGTATAATTTATGACACCGGATGCACCTTTTTTTCTACTTTAGACTCAATAGTGGAGCTCTAATCAAAACAGTTACAAAGCCAAATCAAATCTCACAAAGCTGGAAAGCCTCAATATCTGAAACTTCCTAAAAGATGTGCCAAATACAGCCAAGGCAATCTATACCTGTGGGTCAGGCACTTTTCTTTGAAAAAAATTACCCATATATCAAACTGTGGACTTGTATTTTTGAGAAATGAGATATGTTCATGAACTTCAGTTATATTCTGATTCCACTGTTGTCAATCCCACTGAAAATTGTTATATCATAAATCTGCATTAAATTTTCCACAAGATGGTTTTATATAATGCCTATTTTTGTTGTTGGAATCATTCGTAGCAGCCCTTCCAATAAGTCAATCGTAAATTATTTCGTCGTCTCACAGCAAAATGGCAATGTTAATCTTGCATAGTTTTTCTAGGAATATTTTTTTCAGAGACAAGTGCCTGTGCTGTGGGTAGAAAAATCTTAGCATTAATCCCATCTTAAAAGCTAAATATTGAGACAACCACAACATACAAACATTGACTGTTTCCCTCTAGATGTCGTTTGGTTATCTTTGTTGCTGGGTTAATGTCTCAATGATGTTAACCCCACTTCTCCTTTTATTCATTTGCATATCATACATTAAAATGGATAATTACCAAAAATACTGCACATTACAACATCAACTTCCAACACTTGACTTCTCTGAAAAAAAAAACCCAGACATACGTACAAAGACAAACAAACACCAAGAAAATGATTAAAATAACACTTATAATAGGTTTTATATTAAAATGGTTAGAACATTGGAAAATAGAAGCATTACTACTGAATTTGTGATTCTATCACACCTGCCACCCTTGCTGTGGAAAGATTTCAGAGATTTCCAAAGTCAATTTTGTGTTGATATAAAGATTACATTCATAAGAGGGTTTGAATGCTGTATGTCTCTTATTTCAGAAATGTTTCAATGAATTAGGATCCTTTCCAATTGCTAGATTGAAGAAAATACAAGAAGAATGTAGGGAACGGCCATGAATATCTTGATATTTTTAGAACTTTAACACAAGAAAAGTACAGAGACTGTAAGAGTTTTGAAAGCTTATGTAAGGTTACTGGGAATACAATGCTAGCTTTATGGTGGTAAAAGGTTTTCAATTATTTTATCTTTACATTAAATGCTTAAGGTTAATATGTTTTTGTAAGTGTTTTTGCATACATGTTCATCATTCTGGACACAAAAAAGCCTTTCGAAATTTTGTTTCAATGTGTTATTCAACCACAGATTAAAAAAAAAAAAAATATTGTTTAACTTTTGAAAACTTTAAATCACAGTGGAAAGTAATAGAATGCAATAAACATGATACTTAAGGATTCACAATAGCTTTTGAAAGTCATAACTATTTATTATCAAAATCAGCAAAATATGTCACCTGTTTTTATGATTATTTTACTTTGTTGAGGAAAAGTTATATTACTATTTTTTATGATGATTTAAAACACATAAATTTTAATATACCAAGTACAAGTGTTTATTTAGTTTTTGAGCTTGAATCCTATATAGTTTTGTAAAATCTTTAGGAAGAATTGTCTTAACAAAATACCTATTCTTTTGATTTAAATAAAATAATTTTCTTGCAGTTGAAATGATATCAACAGAAATTGTCACATATCTTTTCTAACATAATCTTTATTATTGTCAACAGACATTGTTACATATCTTTTCTTTTTATTATTCATTTGATTGTGCCATTTTTTATTTATTTCTTTTTCATACTACTCATAGTTCTACAATCACAAATTTATGATATGAAAGTGTAGACTACCGGATAGATATTTTTTTCTCCCTGCCTTAAAGAGGGGGTTGGTGTATAAAGTAATACATTGTATGTGTCCATCACACTTTTATTTTTATCATTCAGAGTTTATGTTTAATAGTTTTAAGTATAGCCATTCTCAAAAGTTAAAATTAGAATCAATTGACATATGTGCCAAGTGCAGTCGCGTAACGTTTCCATACAGCGGATTAGAATAACAGCAATTTTGTTTCTTGTTTAATTACAAGTGATTTTCAGTATCAGACTGGTAACTCAGAAATGATTTCTGTCAAAAACTTTTTTTTCATAATATAAAGAATTTGTATAGTAAAAGAAAGTGAAGGCTTCACCTTTTCGTAAAACATCACAACCATAAAAGAAGCCAAGGCTGCACTCCTTGGGTTTGAGGATAAAAAACCTGTGGATTAACAAGAAAAGCATTTGAAATTAGTAGTTAAGGCTTCACTGCCTGCATTTGCGGCTTGAGAATTTGCAGTTATTATAAAAACTTTTCGCCAAGTCAAAGCTAACCAATGTTTGTCACTTGAAGCTTGAGAATGTGTAGAGCATTGAAAGAGATGATAATATGGATTATATGTTTTTTGATAGGTGTGAATGAACAGGAATAATATGACTCTCTCTTTGATATATATTAAATTGAAATCACAAATATACCCTTTGAGATATTTGTGTTTTGGCGGTAGATCTCCACTGAAAAAACCTCTTTTTATGTCTCCTAATCTCCTTCCTGAGAGAATATAAACATGCAGCAAGTTAAATCTATTAAATTCACAACTAAAGGTAGTTTTCAACACATCTTCATATTTTTTACACTGAGTTGCATTTAACATTTTAACTGTCACTGGTTCTCAAAAATGCAGTTGTTTTTAACTTTATAGTTTACAGAATAGTATTTGAAAGGTTTTCTAATCACATTATGACAAAAGGGAGGATGCACAAATCCCCAGATTGTCAGTGGTAGGATTTTAATAACTGTTTAATAAGACTTTTTTAAACGAAACTTTCCATGAGTTTTTAGATTCTTGGCTCATTTTCTTTAGCTTTGTTCTTGTTGGTTTCTTTTTAGGTGTGACCTTTTCCTTCACAGATATTCATATAATTTAGCAGAATTTTTCTGATGACTTCTATATAAGTGCTCATCAGTATATATATTTTGTGCTTATGTCAGATTTCTCAATGATGTAGTAAGAATAACAGGTCAAGTATAATTGTACTGCAGAAAGTTGTTAGGTGTTCATGTCAGACTGAAAGGTTTTTTGTGACCTTGACCTCATTTTTATATTTTAATGATCAGCATTTAGTTTTTTGTACCACATGGAAGTAATAATCGTGTCCTTTAAGCAGGTGAGACTTATCAAGGTATTTAACTTTAAATTCTTTATAAATACCCCTGTTTGGGGTTGTCATTCAGATTATAGTAGTTGTGAAGCATTGCATTCCAGTTAAAAAGAACCAAAGGGTCAAAAATTGCACTTTATATTTTTTTTTTTTATTTTTGCTCAAGTGGGTTGTGATTTTTCCCTTATCAGATCCTCTGAATAAAAACTTTTAAGAGCTACAGTATTGCAGCAGATTTTTTTACAAGCTATAGTGCTCAAGCCATGCACGGCTTAATTAGCTAAAAAAATGCTTTTTACATGGTACATAGATTATTGTGTCAAGTGTATAATTGTGTCAAACTCATTGTTGTGTCTAACACTATATTGTGTACCTATATTCACTTTTAATATACACTTGTTCAATCTTCCCAAGTAGATACATTACTGTTATATTATACTGTACTCAGTGTAGCTTTTTTCCTTGTTTTATTACAAAGACAATCATGTATTTTTGTTATTGTTTATTTATTTATTGGTATATTGTACACATGCTTGTTGTTTATTGTTTATGTGTGTTATATTATACACATTCCAATGTTTTTGATCATTAGGTTAAAGATCTATTAAAGTTGATAAATCCATTAATCTTGCATTGAAAACATCTATTTGAATTAGAATAAGGGGATTCCACAAGACAATTATAGGTATTCAAAAATAAAACTATTGAACAAAACCAGAAGGAAATATGTAGGAGCACAAAAAGGGATATGCCCCGGCACCACAGAGGAGCTACATAACTGTTTTTGTATATATTAGCTCATTTCTAACAATATGAATGTTACCATTAATATATATTAGTCTTATCAATTATGATACAATTAAAAATTCTCTGACAGCTTGGAATGTTATAATTCTGGAATTTTGCCTTCTCATCTAAATTAACTCAACAATAGTAATCATGTAAAAAGTCCTAAATGTCAACTTATGAGCTTGTAGCTGCTAGGTGAAATCTCTGGTATTGGCTTTTGAGAATGACATATTTTATATCAATATATAAATGGTGCTTTTAGTGATTGTAGTGTTGTATGAATATAAAACATCTCATTAGTATTATACAAGTTATGATCAAATTGACTATCCTATTTTTGTACTTTCTCATCAAGCATACTAGGCATATAATTTGTATGTTAAATGAATGAATCACAAACATATTTGTTGTTTTGTAATCAACAAAAAAAAAATCCTCCACATTGTAACATTTGATTGAAAAGAAGAACTTAAACGAATTATATAGCTTTGTACTAAAATAAATAATCAGAAAAAATGTTTTTCATACCTTTAATGTAATAAATGGGCCTACCATTGTCATACGAAATATTCAATTAATATGTTTTACATATAATTAATGCAATAATGGACCTATCATTTTTGTTTATATTTTCTCAGTGACAGTTTAAATGAAAGTCAGAATTTTGTCAACACAAAAAATTAGTCTGTAGAAGAATTTGAATGAATGGGAGAATTTCATTTTTGTATCATTTGCATTGAATAGTCAAGTTAATGGTTTAAATTATTGTAATTTATTTGTACTTTCATTGATTATTGATGCTTTGCTTTGAATTCCTCTTTATCTTCTACCTCTTTATACACGTATGTCTAGTCCTAAATACTGTCACACAGCCTTATCTGAAACAAAAATATTTTGATATTTTATTTTTAAGAAAAGTCTTTTTCCACAAAAGCCTATTTCTACTTTATTTCCATTCACACAAGTGACAAAGCTAATTGGTTTGATTCAGTAATGAACTATGAGATGAGTAACTACATGTAGTTTTAATTAATTCTGTCAAGTTTGGTTCCATTTCAATGTTTAATGTAGGAGATTTTTCCATCATCCAAAATCCCCACATTTACAAATTTCACTTTGAAATCCAAAAATCCATTGATATGAGGTAAGTAATTACATGTGATTTAAAGTTATTATGTCAAGTTTGGTTCCAAATATAAAAGATTTCCACATCTGCCAAAATCCCCTCATGTACAAATTGGGCTTTGACAAACTTCCAAAAATCCATTGGATTCAAGAATGAAATATGACATGCATATAAACTACAAATTGTAAGAAGTAATATTGTTGTATTCTAAATCAGTATATTTGATCAAATTACATCTAATAAGGAGAAAATATTATTTTTAACATACAGCATGCTCTGAATCTGGTCAATAGGAATATTAAAAAAATAAACAAGACTTTATTTACAAAATTAAATGGTTAAATAATTGACAATTGTGGTCACCATTGTTGCATTTTGAAAATAGGCCAATCAGTGGTCAGGTTTATAGTTTTCATCTGTGATATTATGTTTGTGTAAATTGCATGTATTTATAACAATAATCAGATTATTTTCTGTATATCATTTATTTTGTTTTTATTTTTTCACTTATGGGTTTGTGCAATAATATTTTCTTGTCACTGAATTCTGTACTGAAGTCTTTATGATTTTAATATTTCTTCAAATAAATTCTACTATTCAACATTGTATTTTTTTATTCAGCCAATCTGTGTCTATGTAAGTACTCCAGATATTAAGATGGCGCAGAATTCTGAACTTAAGGCATATCATGAAACCAATGATATGTTTTATGCCATGAAATGACTTTCAGAAGGTATAAAACACCATTTTAATCATCCAGAACCAACTTTTGATAAGTATTAAACCATAACTTTATATTAAAAAAAAAGATGTAAAACAGCTGCTAAATTTGAAATAAATACCTTTGCATATAGTTCCTTTGTAAATCAATATTTATAAAATATTACTATATATGAATTAATGAGAATGGGTAAGAGATCAAATTTAAGTAGTGGATAAAAATAGGATAGTATGTAATAAACAGTATCTTATACTTGTGTAAGAAATTTAATAAAAATTTGTACAATCTGCATATTGATATAAAAGTGGATTTCTCATACTTTTTTCTCATACTTTTGTTCAAATTCTTTCCAAAGGTATACCTAACTAATGTATTACATAATCGAAAAGACATTTTATATCACAACTTAATGCATGATTATTGACCTGAATAGTATGCCAGGTGGTTGATAAAAATAAATTATAACAGGTTCCACCAAAACTTTTGTCTTGCCTGTGATTGCTTCTGTCAGTGAAAAAGGGTAATGTTGACTGTCAAAAACCAAGTCCAATTATTAGTAAAACTAGCACACCCCCGAAATCGCGGGCATTTAGAGCGTGGTTGAAAGTATGTAAACTGTTGTAGGATTATTTTCTGTAAAAGATTTTATGACTGGAGAATTTCAGGAAAGGTATCAAAAGTCATAGGTAATGGGGACAGGACGATTTTTTAGCCCTCCCCCTTTTGTTCAAAAGCCATTATTTTTTGTTTATTATTAATTTCAATTATTTTCCGGTTTTTCTGTATACTATGAACATACATATAGAGAGTCTCTTTATAATATATCAGTGACCGCCGTAGATAGTAAACTTTGGAATTGATAGTAAATAGCAAATACACTTTATTTACAGTATATGTATGTTCATAGTATACAGAAAAAAGCGAACATAATTGTCCTGTCCCCATGTACCTATAAAAATTATGTTTAATTTTATTATACAGTCCTAAACCGAAGTCTTGTCTATGACTTAAAAGTCCGTCCGATGACGGAAACAATATCCGGACGCCTTTATTTTCGTTGTCCTCCCCAAATAACCCAAACAGAATAATCATAAGCGAGGATGACAAATGCGACTATGCATGGTACCCCTAGGACACAGAGGCTTGATGATTAATTTATTGTGTGAGAAGGAGAAGCGACACACAAAATGAGGTCTTCTCATTTAAAAATATAGATAGATACTTAGTTTTTGACAGTCAACAATAATCTGATACAAGTCAATACTTTAGGTTATTTAAGTGTAACCATTTTCAGTGATTTGCTTTAAGAAATAAACAAAGTGACATAATTCTTAATCAGAGCATTTTCTGTAATTAAATTTATTTGTATATTCCCCATTATATTGCTTTTTATCAGTATAAGGTCTTTGTTAACATGGTTTTCCAATTGAAAAATCAGGTTATTGCAAAGGCGAAGTAAGGTGGGCAGATTGCTGCCAACAATTTCAATGCAATAACTTATAAACCATTTAACAAATGCTTTTCTAATTTTAAAATGTTGTTTCTGCTAACAAAATACAGGTAGAATTAGATATTGACAGTTTTCATTTTTACCTTTCAAGAGTTATGGTTCTTCATAGATTGGAAAATGACACTTATATGTCTTTTCAGTGCAATAACTTAAGAAGTGTTTTCAAGGCTTTTCAAATTGAATTGTGTTTGTTATTGATGGCAAAATGGACGTCGAGTATGATATTGACGATTTTTTATTGATCATGTGGGTATTGGTAAACCATAAATTTATATATTTAATAAGGCATAAATTTCTACTTGCTTAAGCAAACTTTCAAAAAATCATGAAATCAATTATTCCCAAAAGTATAATTTTTCACTATCCATGAAAAATTGGTATCCAAGAAAAACAAATGAATCCACAGTATCCAGAGTTTTGATAGCTGTCTTGAAATGTTTTACAGGAGTTAATATGTAATGAGAAGAAATATGGAAAATGGTTTGTAAGTGAGGTAAGAAATAATGTTCTCCAATACAAAAAGAAAAAGTATCTTGCAAAGTTCTTTAATTTCACTTTCAGATATATTGATGATGGTCTGTATCTCAATAACCCACATTTCAATGAGTGCTTACATCTCAAATATCCCAGTGAACTTAAGATTTAGGATACTACCGTAAGTAGAAGGTCTGCTTCATATCTTGATCTCTTCCTTGATATAGGCACAATTGGACAGCTTAAAACTAGAATCTATGATAAACATGATGATATCAACTTTCCATTTTTCAGCAGTAACATACCCTATGCTCCATCATATCATAACAATCCAACAAGAAATGTAGGTGTGAGAGTGCTTACAATGCAATTTCCTATACGGTGGATTCATTTATTTTCGTGGATTTAGGAAAACTTGCATTTTCGTGGAAATTTGATTTCGTGGTTTTGCCAATGTCTACGTACTAGGTAATAGAAAATTTGTAATTGGTTGCACATTTAAATTCGTGGTTCACATGTTCCCACGAAACCTACAAAAATTGGAATCCAACGAATAATAATAAATCCACAGTAAACATATTTCCAAGAGGCATAAATTTTATAAAAAGTTGATCACCTCTGATTTTCAAACTTGTCTGTGACATTGCCAATATAAATCTTTGATATAAACTTCATAAATATCTGGCAAGAATTGTAAACTTAACACTTACATTTCATTTTTCTATAGAATTTACATTTCTAAGGGACATAACTCGTGTAAAAATAATTAATCAGCCTCTTCCCATACATTGTTAATACAAATTTCTTAACAATCCTTCAAGAAATGTAGGCTTGAGAGTGCTTAAAATGCAATTATCTATAAAATTTATACTTCTAAGGGTCATAACTCCTTAACATATAGTTGTTAGGCACTTTTTTTTTTTAATACATTGCTGATATAAACCTTTGATATAAATTTGATCAAAATCTTGGAAGAATTGTACACTTGAAAGCACTTACAAGACTGGACACACAGACAGGCTAATGAACGCGTTATTGGTAGTTCCCCTGCACCACATTGGACTGGGACAATTATGGAGAAAAAACTGCCATCCCAAACACTTAGAATACCTACTTATTGGTCAATTTGACAATTAACACTCTTTTCCTTAAATGGTAATTTTTATAATGTTTTGTGTTTTTTGCAGTTAACTTGAAACAGTAATAGCTTGCATGCTGTTGGGTCTCTTTTAGAATGGCACAACTGTGATAATTGTTGTAAAACATGTTTTCACGAGTGTATCTTTGTTCGGCTATTGGGTTTCGAGCTTTTCATTTGTCTCTCGTGCTGTGTGGAGGTGGTAAAAGTTTCCTCGTACTTGAGAAGTATGCTCAGTACTTTAACAGTTATGGTGTAGTCAGTTTAACTGAAATGGCAATACAATCCAGTGTGATGTATTTTCCCCATCTCTTACATTATTTCCTACCAAGTTATCTAACTCGTATCTTGATGTGCCCTGTGGTTGTCTATATGATGTATTGTTTCTGTGTCTGTTTTAACACCGAGATTTAAAGGTCATTTATGACAGTATTTGTTAAATTTTTATCAGATATAATTTATAATTTGTTGATATTACCTCACAGTTTTGTTAATCAATGCACAGATGTAGCCTAACTGACATCTAGCAAATAAATCTCAACTGGTGCTAGTGACCACCTTCAACTTGTGGTGAGGTTAAGAGTTTTTGCTCCATGTTGAAGGATTCACTGTGACTGATATAGAGAACAGAAATAGAACTGCTGTTCCTAAACTTTTAGTATATTGATGTCACATAATGATTTTGTGTCATGAATTGATACATTATATTCTTTCTTTTCTATTATGATATAAATCAAGTGGAATGATCTACTAGCAGCACACATAAGCAATGATAACTTATATCTGATTTTATGACAACAACATTACTATTAGTTTGATCTTGTTTATTACCAACAACATAGTTCATATATAATTACAAATATCATAAAGATCACAAGCTTTGGAATCATGATTGTTTACAGAGACAACAGTATTATAATTTAATATCAGCATGAAACCATCAATCATTTATTTTAGAGCTATAATTGGAAATTACTCTTTTTGGATCTCCATTGACAAATCAACTTTCATTCTGTAACAGTTAAATGATAGATTGATGTCGGTAAATATTACGGAACATTATCATTTTATCTAAAACTGAACCTATTCTGAAATAAGTTATAATATAAATTCACTTCAATAAATCATGGTCAGTTAACCAAAACCATAAATGTCATCCAATAGTGAAGGAATACTTTATAACAAGGAATGTTATCATGTCTTTTTAATTAGAGGAATCTGGTATTGGTGGGTGATGTTGTCTGTTGCACTGTTCAATATTTTAAATAATTTCTGGTACATGTATCCTTTTTGTGTAATTCATATTTAGTCTGGAAGATAGAGGTTCCTGACAAAGCTAATTGTTACATAAATTATTTGAACAGATGGTTCTATGTTTGCATGACTAACAAGAATTGAAAGAAAATAACATATTAATATTAAACATGCTACAAGCTTAAGTAATGTATCTTTTTACATTTTCATGAGATATGTGGTATACGTCAAAAGGTCAGAAAAACACCCAAATAATTAATAGTAAAATAAAATTTATTTATATTGATAACTATTTTATACTGACTTGCTGAAAGAGGCAGCCCTCTGTGACCTTTAAAATAAATTTAAAAGTAGGGTTCAGATTAAAAGATGGACATCAACAAAATGTATTTAGAATGAAAAAACCACAAAAGTGAAATGCAATTAGGCAACTTAGGCAAGTAAAACTGTCAAGTATTGTTAAATCTTAGGCAAGTAAAACTGTCAAGTAGTGTTAAATCTTAGGCAAGTAAAACTGTCAAGTATTGGTAAATCTTAGGCAAGTAAAACTGTCAAGTATTGTTATTATCTGATTCTGTCCTTTATTGTAATGGATTCGAAACGATCATGCAGGAGGTTTATGGAGACAGAAATATCTTGGTGTATCAGTGCAACTAACCAATTGTTAGCTATCTGCAGAGTGAGAAAAACATTCAGAAGCTTATAAAAAGTAATGGTAAATACATCAGTTATTATAAAGATAAATGATAGCACAGCATTAAATCCAGTCATCCAAAAAAATGATGCAAGGATCAATACATATAAGGAGAGTAAGTGCAAAGGTTTTGAGAACATATTTATCTGTACAACATAGCACAAAAAAAACAATTAAATCATTGATACATCTCCATGCATAAATTATTCATAATTAAAAAATAATACACTTTAATAGTTTATCTAATATATATATATTAATAAAAAACACCATTTACATCCTTCCTTACCTTTACATAAATCATCAACTCACACAAACACACACACACACACACCCAACTACTAAGGAATGTTATTATCTCAGTACTAAATGTCTATATATGTTCACTCTACTTCCCAATATATCGCATAGTAAATTAACAAGAAAACTTCACGGAATAAATCAATTCTGGTTAAATAGCAATGTCATTTATGTTAAATGCAAAATACATGTTTTACTGTATATAAATATACACTGTGTTTCACCAATAAATATACCATCAACACAATAAATGTTGTATAAAAAGAAATCATTAGAGCTATCTTATGTCACCCTTTTCTTTTTTTTATACTTTTATACTCATTTTTTACCATCATTATACATTTAGCATACTAAGAACTCACAATCTCTCAAACTCAATATCATGTACACCTGTGCTAGCAAACCAATGTCTTCTACAAACTTGACATCTGTAAGTAACTTTACATCTATTACACTTAATTTCAGGTACATATGTGCAATCTAATTATTAAGTCTATATAATAAACTTGGGACTCTAATATCTATACACATACTCATAAACACTGTCTATCATCTGTCACACTCAATTCCAGATATAACTGACAACAAATTGATAAGTTTACCACAAATGAATGACACTTACACTTGCCTAATTACATATATAAGTAAACACATCAATTTGTGTGACTAGCATTTACTGTCATAAAACAATTAGTACATTAAGTGCTATGAAACGAAATCTTCAGTCAAGTGAATAGTTCTAAACATGCTAAAGTCTGGTTGTAATTAATTTTTTTTTCAGTCAAGTTGTAATTAAATATTTTTCATTCTATTTGTAATTAATCTTTCTTTAGTCTTGTTGTTGTCATTCTATATATAATACTATCCCTTCCTGGGTCCATGTGCCACATACCATAGCTAACACCAAATAAAACAATAGCAAGGATAATCATAAACCACAATATAATGTTGAAAATGGCTGGATAATCTTCATCATAGTCTTTGGATAAATTTAGTTCTTTCATAGAATTATCAGGTCCTGGTGTCTGTAAAATACATAAGTAACATTAAAATGATTCATTTACTTGTAGATGTTGTTTGTGGTTAACATAAGGTTCTTACTATATGATTAACCCTAACAATCAAATCCTGTTTACTCTGTTTAAATATCACACCAACACCTAACACAATACTTGACTGGTGTTAAATAGGGTTCAAATGCCTGATTTTTTAAACGAATCATACTTTCTCTGGTATAAGATATTACCCCCACATAATACGTTACTGGTGTTGAAAGGCTTTCAAATGCCTGACTTTGAAAACGTATCATGCTTTCTATGGTAAAAGATATCACCCCACATAATACGTTACTGGTGTTTAAAGGCTTTCAAATGCCTGATTTTTAAAACGTATCTTGCCTTCTCTAGTAAAAGATATCAACCCACATACGTTACTGGTGTTTAATGGTGTTCAAATGCCTGACTTTTAAAATGTATCATACTTTCTATGGTAAAAGATATCACCCCACATAATACGTTACTGGTGTTTAAAGGCTTTCAAATACCTGATTTTTAAAACGTATCTTGCCTTCTCTAGTAAAAGATATCAACCCACATATGTTACTGGTGTTTAATGGTGTTCAAATGCCTGACTTTTAAAATGTATCATACTTTCTATGGTAAAAGATATCACCCCACATAATATGTTACTGGTGTTTAATAGGGTTCAAATGCCTGACTTTTAAACCGTATCATGCTTTCTCAGGTAAATTATCAGCCCTAACATTCCTTATAATACTTGACTGATTTAGTGCTGAATCAGGATTCAAATGCTTGACTTTGAATCATGCTATGCTTTCTGTATTAAAAATTCTCCCTTCCACTCCTTGTAATATCTTACTATTTTTTATAATAGCTTACTAGTTCCTGGCAATAGCTTACTGGTTTTTTATAATAGCTCAGTGGTTCCCGTCAATAACTTACTAGTTCCTTGTGATAGCTTACTGGTGTGAGATCAGCATTAAACTTTTAACAGATTAATTATCCTTTGTCTACAAATTTCTCCTACACTCCTTATTAATTACTGGTTTAGAGATATATTATCCTTTGTCTAGCAAGAATTCTCCTGTACTCAAATTAGTCACTGGTTTAGGTCAGGGGCTCTTTTCACAAAGAATCTTACGACAAAAATTGATTATAAGTTATACTGAAATGTTCATGATTAGTATTTTTTCAAGTAAGATTTTTTGTGAAATGAGTCACTGGTCATTACCTACATTCCATGCTTTCAATGTACGCTCCTGGTAGGAGAATGACTTTCTCCCCCCCTCCCCCCCCCCCTTTTGAATAGTATACAGATGTGACGTTTCAAATTATCAGCATGAATATTCCAACTCATTCTATAACTACTGGTCAGGTTTTAAGTTCTCATTTAATCAATCTCTGATAAAACTTCACCAAATACAAACTTACTGGTGTGGGGTCAGCTTTTAAACTCCTAACTTTGCGGACATATCCTGCTTTCTCTGGTACAATAGTCAAAACTTCTATCATTACGTTATCTTTATATAACTTTTTAAAATCTTCAGTCATCTAAAATGAAACAAACATGAAAAAATTATTATCTTTTCTTAATAATCTAAGTTTTTCTGTTAGTCACAACATTGGATGAATCTTGAATGGTTAAACCCTATCAAAATATAAGTCGTTTTTATTTAGAGGAGACGTTGTAAAAATTCCTCAAAGGACTGTCAAACAATTGGTTTGACAAACTGCAATGATTCATTCATCTGACTGACCAAAAATCAGTTAGACAAAAAATCAGTCAAACCAAAAACAGTCCGACTAAACATTTATGGACTATGTGCTATCAGTAAAATGAGTGTTTTACCTGGTTTTATTTTCTCAATATTTTACTGTATAAATCATGAATTTTTACAAAAAAGGTTAGCAAATACTATATAAAAGATTTAATCAAAATCAAGGCAGCTACACATAAGTGTTGGGACTGATTTTAGCACGAGAATATAGGATCAGGCCATTATTTGTCTGGACTAAAGCATATTTGTGGGATCTGTCCAATGGTCTAGCATATTTTAGGAAGACTGTTAAGATACCTTGGTAGCATGCAAAAACATGTGCCTTGTACAGACTGGAATGCTAACAGTTTACTTAGGGGAAAAACTCAATGATTTTGAACATTTGAAAGTGAGGGATGTATAAATACGTAGCTACATTAGGAGCTATATGACAAAAAGGGACACATAAAGGATAGCAAATTCATTGAAGGTCAACTTTGACTGAGGAAGTTAGAACCTTAGTTTCTTAATTTACCAACACAGCATTTAAGAAAATATTTTAAAAATCAAGTTAGTACAGAAGTACCGACTACTGAGCTGATGATAACCTAAGGGACTAACAGTCCACCAGCAGTGGTATCAACCTAGTACTAGTAAATGAAATTAACACTTCATAATTTTGTGAATCCTACATGGCTTCAAATAAAAAGGATGGGTGCTGTGCCCTGTGAAAATGGTCTACCTGAAATAACTTGACATATTAGTACACACAGTCACATCTACATGATCAAAGTTGGAAAGGAACATTGGGGAGGGGATACTTCAGTGAACTGTCTGAGTTGGTTAAATGGCTACCAAAAATAAAAAGTATCTTAACAGTATGAAATACCTTATTTATGAAATTATTCACAAGGTCACTAGCATCAGCTGCTTGTGTTGATTGGCTACCATGTTTGTCCATGATGTCACGTAACCCTGTCACAGTAAATGAGAATAGATCTGGAGACTTTGTGGACATCATCTCTGGTTTGTCTGATATCTACAAAAGAAATAATAAAGTCAAATCAATCATAACACGATTGACAACATATTTGTCCATAATGTCACGTAGCCCTGTCACAGTAAATTAGAAAGGATCTGGTGACTTTGTGGACATTGCTTCAAAAAAATTACTTATAAAAAGCACCATGTATTGTGATCTTCACAAAGTAGTACAAGAAACAATTTATTGTGTCATAGACCTTTTTTTGTCGAAGATTGTAAGGTCTGATGAGTAATATATCAGATAATTGAAAATAAAAACTTTGCCAAAGTTTCAGTGTGACACTTGAAAAGTGACCTCAAAATTAATAACGGCTCTTTTCACCCACAAGTGCATTATTCACCAAAGATTGTAAACAGCTGATATATTGCTGGGATAGCATTCATAAAATTGTTAGCCGAGTTCCAGTTTGTTGTAACTCTGCTAACAGGGAGACGTTGGTATACTTCAATGATGACATATCGATCAAATCCATAATGTAACTGTGTTAATGTACAAGCAATGTACTATTTGTCTTTTGTCTGCCCATAACTAACATAACCTTGCCAGTTTAAACCATTTACATTTTTTCTTATATCTATCAATGATGTCACATATAACTCTCCAAACTTTGATTGGGGGCTGAATAAATTTTTAAATTTTCAACTCTTGAACAGCAGCTATAACAATCACTGATGCAGTTGACCAGATTTTTAAATTATCAAAATTATACAAAGTTAAGTAATCATCTGGAGCCATCTAAAGTTCTCCCATTAATTTGAAGTCAGTATGATTGTTGCCTCTTTCCTTAAATCCCCTTTTTTCTGATATTTGAGTTTTACAAACGGTATTGACAATAGCCTCAACCATCTTAAAGCATATGAAGTTCTCCCATTAATTTGAGGTTAGTTAGATGACCGCCTCTTTCCCTAAATTTCCCCTTTTTCCGATATTTGAGTTTTACAAACAATCCTACCATGGTTACATACATATATCAAACCATCTTGAACCAATTGATGTTCTTCCATTAATTTGAGGTCAGATGGAGGACTGCCTCTTTCCTTACAATCCCCCTTTTTCACACATATGAGTTATACAAACCGTATTAACAACATCTTGAACCATCTGAAGTTCTCCCATTAATTTCAGGTCTGTTGGATGACTGCTATTCAAAGTTCCTACTGTATGCTGATTCAGCACAGAATCAGAGTCTAATAGTCTGTCAGCCATTCTTCTCATTGTATCTGGTAACTTACGGAAAACATCAAAATCTGTATGCACATCAAAGAACTGCAATGATATTAAGAAAAGCTATTTTATATATAGAATGATCTTAATAAACATGTAATATTTTGAGGGTTCACATCAATCATTGGTATATGTTGAGGGTCAGCAACTATTGTTGATATATAATAGCAATATATTTCTTCAGGGATTAACTTCAAAAACAATTATGGAGTCTAGGTGCATGTGGTTTTTTACAATTTGGTTTGAACTTTATAAAGTCAAGAGTACTTATTATGCTCTATAGTTTGAATACCTTAATCACTGTTATGAAACCAAAGAATTCTGATGTGAAGACCAATGAGGACATGAAACCATAAAAATAATTCAATAAATATTCTAGGATCAAATAAACATTTGTAATAATTACACTACTCTCATTTGGATAATTCATTTTGTCTTGCTAATGGTGGCCAGCAAATATGGATTTTCCATTTTTCACTTGCCTATGGTGGACAGCGTAAGTGGATTAGGCTTTTCCCAATTTCCTAAGGCAGCCAGCAAATATGGATTTTCCATTTTCCACTTGCCTATGGTGGCCAGCAAACATGGATTTGGCTTTTCCCAATTTCCTAAGGTGGCCAGAATAAGTGGATTTGACTTTTTCCACTTGCCTATGGTGGCCTGCATACCTGGATTTGGCTTTTCCCACTTTCCTACGGTGGCCAGCATAAGTGGATTTGGCTTTTCCCACTAGCCTATGGTGGCCAGCATAAGTGGATTTGTCATTTCCTACTTTCCTATGGTGGCCAGCATAAGTGGTTTTGGCATTTCCCACATTCCTATGGTGGCCAGCATACATGGATTTGGCTTTTCCCAATTTCCTAAGGTGGCCAGCATAAGTGGATTTGGCTTTTTCCACTTGCCTATGGTGGCTGGCATAAGTGGATTTGGCTTTTTCCACTTGCCTATGGTGTCTGGCATAAGTGGATTTGTTTTTTTCCACTAGCCTATGGTGGCTAGCGTAAGTGGATTTGGCATTTTCCACTTTCCTATGGTGGCCTACATAAGTGGATTTGGCTGTTTCCACTTTCCTATGGTGGCCTGCATAAGTGGATTTGGCTTTTCCCACTTTCCTATGGTGGCCAACATGAGTGGATTTGGCTTTTAATATTTTCCTATGGTGGCCAGCATAAAGGATCTGGCCTTTTCCATTTCATATGGTGGCCAGCCTAAGTGGATGTTTCCTTTTCCACTTGCCTATGGTGTATCAATAAAACTTACATTATTGTACACACCGGTAACAATAAAACTTACATTATTGTCCACACCAGTTACAATAAAACTTACATTATTGTCCACACCAGAATCAATAAACCTTACATTATTGTCCACACCAGTATCAATAAAACTTACTTTATTGTCCACACCAGAATCAATAAAACTTACATTATTGTCCACACCAGTTACAATAAAACTTCAATTATTGTCCACACCAGTATCAATAAAACTTACATTATTGTCCACACCAGAATCAATAAACCTTACATTATTGTCCACACCAGAATCAATACTTACATTATTGACCACACCAGTATCAACTAGATATCATTGAGATGGGAGCCATCTCTGTCAGTCAGGGCTACTACTTGTACAAGTAATTTTTATTTACTTGAAGAAGTAAATATTAATATACTTATATAAGTGAACCTGTAGGATACTTATACAAGTGTATTTTATTTACTTGTATAGGTAAATAATTTTTTGGTTTAGTTATGTCCCTTAGACATTCAGATTTTTTTACTTATACAAGTAAAAAAGTCATCCTATCTTCTTTTCTTGAATTCTTAGGACTTCTTTGCTCTAATAGAATTTTTAGTTGTCTGTCCTTTGCAGATGTCTTTACTAATCATTTAAGTGTAATTTCATGCACAATGAAAATCTTATTTGTCTGTTATCTTCAGAACACTGCTCATTTACAAGCCCCCAAGGGGCAATTTTTGAAGGCCTTGCGCAAATACTTAAAATCTTTGCGCAATCAGTTTCTTTGTTGAATTAATGAGATGAAACATTGAACACTAATAAAAAATTATGAGCTTACCTGAGAAAAATTGTTAAAGGCATGTTTTTACATCTCAAAACTTGAGAATATTTGTGGGATTGTAAAAAAAAAATTACTTATACAAGTAAATTTTTGAGAAAACTAAGGGGAGATTATTCAAACATTATAATTAACTTATATAAGTATATTTTATTTACTTCTTCAAGTAAATAAAGATTACTTGTACAAGTAGAACCCCTGACTGTCTGTGGGCCCTGCTGTGAATAATGTGTGGTAAAAAATTTGTATCTTTATCATTGGACATGGGGTTGTCAACTGAAACCAAAGTTTTTGACCTTGACCTTTGACCTAGGAAGTTGTACTTAAATTATGACACACCCTCTGGTGTTGGTTTATATACATATCAAGTATAAACTTTGAATTCATAATGGTTCTCAAGATATAGAGCGGACACGATCTTAACCATATGACATGGGGTTGTCAACTAAAACCAAAGTTTTTGACCTTGACCTTTGACCTAGGAAGTTGTACATACATGATGACACACCCTCTGGTGTTGGTTAATATACATGTCAAGTACAAACTTTGAAATCATAACGGTTCTCTAGATATAGAGCGGACACAATTTGTTACGGACGTACGGACAGACTGATCACTATAGGGCGTCCGCCATTCGGCGGGGCCCTAATAAAACTTACATTATTGTTCACACCAGAATCAATAAAACTTACATTATTGTCCACACCAGTATCAATAAAACTTACATTATTGTCCACACCAGAATCAATAAAACTTACATTATTGTCCACACCAGAATCAATAAAACTTACATTATTGTCCAAACCAGAATCAATAAAACTTACATTATTGTCCACACCAGTATCAATAAAACTTACATTATTGTCCACACCAGTATCAATAAAACTTACATTATTGTCCACACCAGTATCAATAAAACTTACATTATTGTCCACACCAGAATAAATAAAACTTACATTATTGTCCACACCAGAATCAATAAAACTTACATTATTGTCCACACCAGTTACAATAAAACTTACTTTTTTGTCCACACCTGTATCAATAAAACTTACATTATTGTCCACACCTGTATCAATAAAACTTACATTATTGTCCACACCTGTATCAATCATCAAAGGATTGGTATCAAAGAATGTATCCTGTATAACATTCATCATCTGACCCACATCTACTGAGGGAATGTCCTGAAAGAGATAAACAATAATGTAACATCACTGATTCATCATCTGACCCACATCTACTGAGAGAATGTCCTGAAAGAGAACAACACTAAAGTAACATCACTGATTCATCATCAGACCCACATCTACTGTGAGAATGTCCTGAAAGAGAACAACACTAATGTAACATTACTGATTCATCATCTGACCCACATCTACTGAGAGAATGTCCTGAAAGAGATAAACACTAATATAACATTACTGATTCATCATCTGACCCACATCTACTGAGAGAATGTCCTGAAAGAGATAAACACTAATGTAACATTACTGATTCATCATCTGACCCACATCTACTGGGGGAATTTCCTGAAAGAGATAAACAATAATGTAACATCACTGATTCATCATCTGACCCACATCTACTGAGAGAATGTCATGAAAGAGAACAACACTAATGTAACATCACTGATTCATCATCAGACCCACATCTACTGTGAGAATGTCCTGAAAGAGAACAACACTAATGTAACATTACTGATTCATCATCTGACCCACATCTACTGAGAGAATGTCCTGAAAGAGATAAACACTAATGTAACATTACTGATTCATCATCTGACCCACATCTACTGAGAGAATGTCCTGAAAGAGATAAACACTAATGTAACATTACTGATTCATCATCTGACCCACATCTACTGGGGGAATTTCCTGAAAGAGATAAACAATAATGTAACATCACTGATTCATCATCTGACCCACATCTACTGGGGGAATTTCCTGAAAGAGATAAACTATATAATCTGAATGTTGTATGTACAATCCTTTTTTCCTGTATTGTTGATAGTAGAATTGGTGTATCGTTTGAATAGTATTACTGTGGAATTATTATCTATGGAATAATCCTATCTGCTGGTCTTTTCTTAATTCTTTTTAATTATTGTTTGGAATTTCCCTTTTTGTTTTATTTTTGGTTAGATAGAAAGAATTTTGAAAATTCACAAGCTATGACTTTGTACCATAATAACAAAAACTTACGCTTTTAACTGGATATTTTGCAATATTTTTCACACTCAGTGGTTTCTTTCCTTCTGATGTTACAACTGTCATTAGGACATTTGCTTTTGGTCTGTTAAACAATGATCCCTGGGTAACTCCTGACCATTTTACATCCTACAATAACAAATATAATCATCCATGACTAAGTTCCATATTTATTACTATAAATATATAATGCAAGATACAGAAATGTATGATAAACAGAACCATTCAAGTTAATGTTCACAAATGTATGATAAACAAAACCATTCAAGTTAATGTTCACAAATACATGTACATAGTCATGATAATGCAGTTGGTTTTTTTTCCACACACATAAGATAAAGTTTAATGTCAATTCTTACATTTGTACATCTGTTAAATAAATCTCAGGCTCTCATTTTCAATTTTTTGTTGCAATTTTGTTACTGTAAACCAACTAATTTTGATGTGCGATTTATTTTAGACGACTAGAAAAATAGAGCAAATATAAATCATCCAGGATATGTAAAACGTGGAGCTTCCCTTATATAAATACATCACGAAAATTACAAAATCATGAATATAAATCTCCATGAAGTGATTCAGAAAAAGCTAAATATGAAATAAACTATCCCAGAAAATAACTTGGTTTACAATCATGACAATAGTGTTTGTAGGATCAAATCTTTAGATCCTCTTGCAGTCTTATTGCAGATTTTAGAAATTTTTCCTTACCATGCATGAATTGACATTAAGTGTATGTGTATAATTAAGTTTGTTTCTATGCTTTTTTTACTTTGACCTAACAATAGCTATTGTTTAAACTGTTGTGTCTGTTTGAACTTGCATAAATGTAAACGATCATAATTGATAACGATTACAGATTATGATTTCCCCATCCCTAGTTTGAATAAACATATACACTGTGTATGTAAGTAAACCAGAAATATCACTTATCCATCGGTTTTCTGTTTGACCCTACATTCAGTATAGTCATGATAGTTACATGTACCCATGTCAAAAATTGGGTGATTGTGTATGTGTAATTGCTTGTTGGTTGTCAGTTTGCTATAAAAGTAGCTGTAGTTTTCTCAGATGTAACACCAAGCTTTAGTGAATGTGTGTTATTTTTTCAGAAGAACAACTTGCCTGTTGAGGTTGACTTTTATCTAACAATTACCATACATTTATACCTCTATTGGAACATACAGTCAACATGGTACATGTGTGTTACAAATGTATCAATTTAAAAACATCACTTGTCTGTGTTATATAAAATCACTTGTCTGTGATATATAACATCACTTGTCTGTGTTATATAAAATCACTTGTCTGTGTTATAAAACATCACTTGTCTGTGTTATATAAAATCACGTGTCTGTGTTATATAACATCACTTGTCTGTGTTATATAACATCACTTGTCTTTGTTATATAAAATCACTTGTCTGTGTTATATAACATCACTTGTCTGTGTTATATAACATCACTTGTCTGTGTTATATAACACCACTTGTCTGTGTTATATAAAATCACTTGTCTGTGTTATAAAACATCACTTGTCTGTGTTATATAAAGTCACTTGTCTGTGTTATATAACATCAGTTGTCTGTGTTATCATAACATCACTTGTCTGTGTTATATAACACCACTTGTCTGTGTTATATAACATCACTTGTCTGTGTTATATAACATCACTTGTCTGTGTTATATAACATCACTTGTCTGTTGGTACATGTACTTTACCTAACAGTCCCTATCATGCTTATAGATATCAATGATGGGATACCAGGTGTTATATGTATAATATATACTGAAAAATATTCATACCTTGCATTGTCTAATAGTCCTTACTCTTGCTATATTTACCTCTGTTGGAACACCACGTGTATGTGTTATCACTTTAGAAACATCACTTGTCTGTTTGACCTTGACCTAACTCCTGTTATATTTACCTCTGTTGGAACACCAAATGTACGTGTTATCACTTTAGAAACATCACTTGTCTGTTTGACCTTGATCTAACTCCTGCTATGTTTACCTCTGTTGGAACACCAAGTGTACATGTATGTGTTACTACTTTAGAAACATCACTTGTCTGTTTGACCTTGACCTAACTCCTGCTATATTTACCTCTGTTGGAACACCAAGTGTATGTGTTATTACTTTAGAAACATCACTTGTCTGTTTGACTTTGATCTTAACTCCTGCTATGTTTACCTCTGTTGGAACACCAAGTGTATGTGTTATTACTTTAGAAACATCACTTGTCTGTTTGACCTAGACCTAACTCCTGTTATATTTACCTCTGTTGGAACACCAAATGTATGTGTTATCACTTTAGAAACATCACTTGTCTGTTTGACCTTGATCTAACTCCTGCTATGTTTACCTCTGTTGGAACACCAAGTGTATGTGTTATTACTTTAGAAACATCACTTGTCTGTTTGACCTTGACCTAACTCCTGCTATATTTACATCTGTTGGAACACCAAGTGTATGTTTTATCACTTAAGAAACATCACTTGTCTGTTTGACCTTGATCTAACTCCTGCTATGTTTACCTCTGTTGGAACACCAAGTGTATGTGTTATTACTTTAGAAACATCACTTGTTTGTTTGACCTTGATCTAACTTCTGCTATGTTTACCTCTGTTGGAACACCAAGTGTACATGTATGTGTTACTACTTTAGAAACATCACTTGTCTGTTTGACCTTGACCTAACTCCTGCTATATTTACCTCTGTTGGAACACCAAGTGTATGTGTTATCACTTTAGAAACATCACTTGTCTGTAGGTTGTCTGCTTGCTGTTGGAATGTAACATATTTTGGTGCATGGGTTACAATCAGTTCTTGACATGTAACTTGGCTGATGAGACAATCTAAAAAAAAAAAACAGAAGTTGATGTACCTTATTATTGTCATTCAATTTATACATGCAATCTGATCAAACAAGAGTTCAATGGTTTTCTTAAAATAAGATTCATAATCATCAAAATAAGCATATTCAGATAGTCATGAAAGTGAAATTTAAAAATGAAATAGTTTGGAAGAGGCCATATTACACCACTGTAAGTCCAACTAACTGTCATTTTCAGAATATTTGAAAAAAAAATCCTGTGGCCATGCACACCTCCATTATGTGTTTGAACATCCTACAAAATATTAAAGCTGTATCTCTAAAACTGTAGGAGGAGATAGCCGGACAATCCATGATCTCTTTATGCAGCTTGTACCAAAAAAATTATTAAGTCCAACTACCTGTCATTTTCAGAATATTTAAAAGAAATCAAAAACCTGTGGCCACACACACACCTCCATTATGTGTATGAACACAGGGGTTTCATTATTTTTTTAGACTGGAGGTACTTTTGAGATTATAGGGGGAACCAAACCCAAATGGCGAGGGGTCTGGGAGCCGCGTAAGGCCCCCAGTGGGTCCAGGGCTAGCTCTGGTAGGGGGACCAGGGGGCAAAGCCCCCCAGAAGCTCCTGGATTTTAGGGATTTCAGCCTTAATTATTTACTTAAAAAAATAAAGGGTAAAGTCTGTAATATTTGCTTCAATTTTGGGTAAGTTAACATTGAATTGTTTTTTTTCTAGAGAAATCATCTGAAAATACATTGCTTATAATTATTTTGTAGTCAGTTATAAAATATGTATGACCATGGAAGTATTATATTGTCAATATAATACTTCCATGGTATGACCTATAATGCAGGGGTTTCATGTGAAATGTTGTTTAAATTTTTTGTTTGTTTTTATATTTTTATTAAATGTTTTGCATTTGTTCAACTTTGTGAATGAAATTTCATAAGTTACATAGTATATTATTAAAAAAAATTGATAATAAAACTTGTTGTAACTTTTTTTTATTGCTTTGTTATAATCATAACTGTGTCAATTGTTTGTGTAAGTAATTAGTGTCATATATTGTGAATCTGTCAGACTGCCACCTGTAGAGTAATTATAACTTTTTTTTCAAAAATGAAATAAAACAATTAAATATTGACTTCACTTTAAATTTTCCGTTTACTTTAATCAAAGTCATATTCACTGTCATTATCACTTTCATCATCATCATTATCATCCATCTGCCCAAATTCAATCATCATCTGTTTACATGCACTTCTTCAGAGCTGTCTTTTTTTTTAATTTTAGAAGTCTTAAATCTCGTCAGATATTATATTTTGTAAACTTAACAGTTATGTTAATTCAGATTGTTTCACGAAGTCTTACACTAAAAATTTCAATCACAACATAGAACACATATCGAGAAAACAGAGATCAGTGACAACGTCTAACGGGAAACGAACTGATTTGATACGATTAACGATTTTCTGAATTTCATAGAATGTTCACCTTAATTAAACCTCTTATTCATAAAATAATCTGTGATACAAGCTGCTTTCCTTTTATTAGACATAATATTTCTGTTGTTGTTTAAATTCATCAACAATTTGCCTCTTGAAAATATACTGTTAAATCGTCGCATTTTAAAGCGCTCTAACGATACAGATACAGACACATGGTTTATAATTATCACTTCTCCTACTTTGGAGGTGTGCCTAAATTGGCAGAAGATAGATCTATACTTAAACGCGGACCTTGACGAAGACACCTATAAACATACACATGAACGGCGTAGAACGGAGATTATCAAGGAAAGAAAGAAATTAGATTTGAACGATCTTCAAAAGAATTTTACACATTTTTTTTTGTATTTTTATTTTTTCTGCCAGTACCAGACGCTTCCGTAGGCGGTTAAAAGTACTGGGTACCGGGTCTTAATGAATGCACAGGAACATCATACAAAATATTAAAGCTTTACCTCCAAAACTGTAGGAGGAGATAGCTGGACAAAGCATGATCTCTTTATGCAGCTAGTACCAAAAAAATTACTAAGTCCAACTACCTGTCATATTCAGAATATTTGAAAAAAAGAAAAATCCTGTGGCCATGCACACCTTCATTATGTGAATGAACATCCTACAAAATATTGAAGTTGTACCTCCAAAACTGTAGGAGGAGATAGCTGGACAAACAATGTATCCTAATCCGGACGGAAGAACGGACAGAGGTAAATTATGTGGAGCAGGATCTGCTTACCCTTCGGGAGCACCTGAGATCACCCTCAGTTTTTGGTGGGGTTCGTGTTGCTTAGTCTTTAGTTTTCTATGTTGTGTCATCTGTACTATTATTTGTCTGTTTGTCTTTTTATTTTTGGCCATGGCGTTGTCAGTTTGTTTTCAATCTATGAGTTTGACTGTCCCTCTGGTATCTTTCGTCCCTCTTTTAATATCCCCTCCGACATTTTGTTGTGGTGGCATAAAAATAAGATCAATACAAGGTAATTTAAATGTTTGAAAATATTTCATGATCAAAGTGCTTGTGAGCAGTGAAGGGAAAAGATTGCACTTTTTTTACAGTCAGAAATACATTAAACATTGCAATGTACAAAGCATTGGAAGGCAATACTATAAACTTGGGCTATCTTCCTATGTCCATAATTGTAGTTAGTTTAACTTCTTACCTAAATTACATGTACCTGGACAGTGTTAATTATATATAATTAGTAACAATTGAGTACAGGTGTCAGATAAATATATATTTTTTCAATTGTTGTTTTTTTCACTTTTCACTTTTTTATTCACTTCAATACTTGTTTCACCTGTTTTCTCACTCAAAAATACATAATTCTATAAAACAATAATTTCTCACAACAGGGGTGTTTAAATATCTGTTGTGACCACTTGTCCCGTAAATTTTACTTGTATTGAAAAAAAGTAACTTGCCCTGAATTTCCCAATAAATATTAAAGTATTTTAGTCCTATTTTACTTTAAGTTTGAATGATTCTTAAAACTGTTTTGTATCGCAATACATGTATAAATGATTTTTGTGATATTTGTTTATGTGAATAAATAAAAGGAGGAATGGGGGTTTACATCAATGAGACATAAACCCAAAAGCAATACAACCAAAAAACATTTAGAAGGCAACTTATGTTTTGTCCATTTCCCCAGACACCTGTTTAATTTTACTGTTTTCTTTCATCTGACAAGCTTGGTGTTTTGCAGAGCATTGATGGGCCACCAAAGTGTCCCTTCTATCTATTAATTTACCAACAAATGAGTAAGACTTTATCAGAAAGTTGTTGGTGTTTCCTACAAATTGCAATTTGTAAACCACGATGTCTGGAATTCTTGTTGCCGTTTTGTTCCACATTCCCTGTCTTTCTCAGCCAGCGTTTTCCGTTTTTTTTTCGACTCATCATTCATGTCATTGTTATTTTCATTCTTTTTGTCTTGATTACCCGGTCAAGGTGTTTTTATCAGGTATCATCTCTCCCTCTTGATAAAACTCAATCATGAAAAATTGAAATACAATGTAACACTTCTGTTAGCAGGTTTAATAGATGGCTGATAAAACCTAATCGACGATCCCAGGTCAATGGAGAAAAATAACGCAATTTTTACGAGACCCGAATTCGCATACATGTACTTATTTTTTTTTTATTTTGGTTATCGACCTATTTCTGTTTTTTTTTAATACTTGTCGTCATGAACATTGATGTTTTGACTTAAATATATGTTTTTCACGTGTTACTCATTGGTTTCTTTTACATAAACATGATAAAGATATACATTTTAATAAGTCATGTAAGTTGATTAAATTGAATTTTGTCCAGTGTAATTTTTTTACTTGTCCATGGGCAACCCAGATCAAAAAATTTACTTGTCCGTTTATTCAAATGTACGAGTCAGGCGAGTCGGGCATAGCATTTTCACACCCCTGCACACCTGCTATTACATTTGTACCTGTAGTCCTGAACATGTAATTTTTACCTGATATAGTTGAACTAAACATGGTTTCAGATAAAGCAGTTTTCTACAAACATGACAAATACATGGAGGTTTTGTATACCTATCTCTGTACGAGGATCCTACCTTCATGACCTTAGTGATTGAAATTCCTTTTTTACTTTTTACTACATGTATGTACAATGTATTGATCTTTTATTCTGTACCACAGAAAACATTAGTTTTTTTTTTCTTAGCACATTAAGGGTTAAACTTGGTGATGCTTGACAAAATTATACTAATGTCAGGTTTTCAGAAATTTATCTCTGTCAAGTCAACATTTGGTTTTAGAAAGCATAATCGCTTTAAAACAAATATTATTTTTTTAAATGTTAATCCACTGATGTTCTACACACTGTCAGTTAACAGAACTATCAATATATGAACTAATGCAAGGATCCGGAAATTTTCCCAAGTCATTTCGGTCATTTTTTTTTGTGATGTAATAATATCGTGATGCACAATAATGCATTTTTCTGAGGGTGACAAGTCTTGCACATGGACAAGTAAAGTCCTTTTTTGTGAAGTATTGGGTCAAACAAGTGTAACTGTACCCTGATCTAACAGTAACAGTGATGTCTCTGAGTTAGAAACTACACGAGGAGACGTTTTGTTGTTGTGTATTGCATCACTGAGGTCGTATGCATAACCCTTTAAATTTGCATAAATTAAAAGAGGAATAATTACGGCATGTTTCATCATTTTGAAATAAAGTTACGTAAACCAATTAATAAACTGTGTTGAGTTTCTTATTGCATATACAAGATATCGTTTGTATTGTTCAAATTGCTGCTGTTTGGATGAGTGTAAGTGATTACCTAATACACAACAAGATAATGTGTATTCACCTGGTTTACGATAAGAGGATCAAAAAGGGGAAACTATGATTCAACTTTTCTTTGAATAAATAACTCAAGTCTGGTATAGTGATAACAATTGAATTTAATAATAAAATTCATGATTTTAAATAAATAAATAATTTATCTGAACAGAAGTTTGTACACAATTACAACAGTTCAATGAAAAACAATTGCATTGTAATACAGTCCAGAGAGAATGTATGGCTTCACTTGGGTAAAAATCGGAAGTTTAGCCAGGAAAACAAAAGAAAGGATAACGCCCATTACATTCTGTGAGTAAGATGGTTTCAAAAAATCGGAAGTGCAAAAAAAACAAAAAGAAATCGAGATTGTTCATTCGCTGAGTATATTTCCTAAATAGGCTGTATGGCTTCAAATCTAAATTACGTTATTTAGTTTTAATTCCTTTTTTAAACATTTTTTTTTAATTCTGCATTCCTATAAATTATACGCTTTACCACTTTTGTAAATCTATTAATATCTTTATCTGCCATTTCCTACCGAAAAGTTAACAGTAAAATCGATCTTTCAAATAAGATCATCAATTAACCCATGTTGATCCCCATTTTCCATGCGCAAACTCAGTAAACATAAATCTATATTTAACAAACGTTGACCAAATCAGCTGATCGATTATAAATGGATTATATGTTTTATTTGGATAAAAATGGACAGATTCTCGAGTCAACAGTGTTATTTAACTTCTTTAATGAATAAAATAATATCTTTTTGGGAAAATCTAGGTCAGAATGGTTAAAACGTTAAATTTGATGCACAGCAAATCGCCATATTGTTTTTATTGCTTAACAGGTGTTTACAGGTGAGATTTGTGTACATGGCCTTTATGGCTTTAATCAAGACAATAACGACACCCAAGCCGAATTCAAACTTCCTGGACATTGATTACTATCCTCAAGTGGTGATAATTACTATGTAAACAAACCTAGTGGCTTGAACCCAGACTTACCCCACGGTGTGACTCGACAGAGTCCTGTACATTGTTTTCACTTACATTATAGAATAAACAACAGACTAATGATAAATATTATTAAATCACTAACACAAATCAATAAAATTTTTATTTTGTCTCAAACAAATCTATTTTTCTTGATGACCTGAAAACAAAAATAAGTTCAAAATGGCGACCGATAAAACCCTGATCTCAATGAAATGACCGAAATTATTTCTGTAAAAAAAAAAAAAAAGACCTAAATCCCAATAAATCATTTCGGTCTTTTCAGTTTCCAAATCGGTCATGTCTGGCATATATGACCGTTTCCGGACCCTTGAACTAATGTCAGTTCAGAGAATCCATATCAAAAATACAAAGTAATCATGGTAATTGTTTCATGTCAGTCATTTGTAAATTGTTTTTGATTCTCCAATTACCTTGATTGCCTTTAACTGCAAATTCTTAAGAGAATAAAATCAGTATTTTTTGGGAATCCCTGGTGTTTGGGTATAGTACCCATTTATAAGGATCTTCCCCAACCTAAAATATAGGTAGAACCAAATGTACTACATGTATCTTTTTTAAAATAAGGAAATGTACAAAAATCTTAATTTTATACCATTCCAAAATTGAACTAACCTGTAATAAACCCAATAGTGATTGAATCACTGATTATCGTTTGGACTTTCATTCCGATTCAACAACACTATAATTGACATGAAGATAGATCTAATCGAAAACTCGATTGATGTTAGAACTGCCACTGGTGAACAGGAAATTTGTACAAATAAATGTGTCACAACAGTCTGATGCAGATTATTTTAAAGTCAAAATGGTTTTGAGGGGACATATTGGCTAAAAAAATCTTTCTCTCACAAATTGTTACTTACAAATGCATAAAAAGTGCAAAATATTGGTTTTCGATCGAAAAATCAACTCTTTGACAGCCATGTTGAATTTTCATGTGATAACACTCGTGCGGATGTCTTTTGAATTACCAGCTATTACTATACTAAAATCAAAAAGATTCCGAACATAAAACATAGCCGCGGATCGGATAAGTACACATACGAAAAAATAATAGACTGTTCAAAATATAAGGAGCTATTTGATAACTGTGAAAAATTCATGGAAAATATTGAAAGCAAAACCAGAAATATGTTATTCCAGATGCATATAGAAAGATTGAAAATTATGGACAACAAATAGCAAGACACATATTGCATATATATATACGTATATAAATATACATATATCTTTAAGTGGAGGAAATGACAATCAAATGAAAATAATGATTATCATAAGTGACATATATATACCAACACAGAGTCTGTCATTTAATAATTGTAAGAAATTTAAATAATTAATAAGCATTCCTATTTTTTAACTCACTAATACATTTATGATAGGGTCCATATCATGTATATATCCTTTTAAATTTACTGATGGCGACAAAACAAGCTTCTATTACTTTATTATGATTTTTATATACATTGATCATGAAGTACATATAACATTCCACTGAGAAACCCTGCCTTTTTAGATTTTACTAAATTCTTACATCTTAACTTATTATTTTAGTATATAGATCTTATTAAATATAACCTCCTTTTAATGTATCTTTTATGCATATTAAAAAGCAAATTCAAATGAAACATATTTTTAATTATAAATAAAACTGAGATACATACATACATGTAAGTGAATCTACTTGTATGGTAGACTAATTTATAACAAAAAGGTCCATGTAAATATGCCTTGCATGACACTTTTATTGTTTATTTATATGTGCTGTACATATGTTGGAAAAAGAACATTTTTGTTTTATCCTTTTAAATTTTAAAGTTAAGGCAAAACTCCATACATATTTGGAGGTGCTCCTAATTAAAGGAGGCTGATACTAAGAAGAAGAAGAAAAACTCGTCTCAGCTCACAAACACGTTCGCCCCTGTACCTGGTCGCCCTACTCATGTTCTAACTGTTCGGCCCGAGTCCGTTAGTCCTTATTCCTATTTTATTCCCTTATAGGTAGATATATTCATTTATTTATTTATTTATTAAATATCAGTAGTATTATACAAACTGAAAAAAATAAATGAAAACAATAAACTAAGATGTGATTATTACTATAATCAATGACATATAATATATACGGTTGAGCTTTTGATTTTGCCATTTGATAAAGGACTTTCCGTTTTGAATTTTCCTTGGGGTTCGATATTTTTGTTATTTTACTTTATACGTCCTTGCTATAACACAGCTGTGTTATAAGATAAGATAGAAGTCAGGTAGGAATCAGCTAAACTATAGCGTGCTATATTTGTACACCATAATACAAACACTAACTCACATTGTAGTTCAATTGTATAATACATTAATGATTAGTATATGTACATGTAGTCAATTGTATAATACATTAATGATTAATATATGTACATGTAGTAAAGAATAAACTGGATGTCCTCAAATAAAACCTTTACTATGTTTACTCTAGTTATTGCCCCGTACTGAAAGACAAGATGTCCGAGTTTGTACTAAATTTTGTAAAACATGACCGAAATCGTCAGCCGACTCTTTAAAGGAGTTTTGCCCCTCAATGACATTTTTCTATAATTTATGTTTTGTACAAAAGCAATATATTAGATAGAGTAAACTGTAAGCAGCAGCAATGTTCAGGAACATAAAATCTACAAATAAGTCAATTGGCAATCGGCTCATATTGCCATTTAGTCATTTTTCGCATACTTTTGTCATTTTGTCCTCATATTTTGTCATATCTTTTTATAACTGTTATAGCAAAGCGGAAATGTAATAAGCAAGAACAAGCAAAATGAAGATCTTCAAATTAGTCGAAATGATAAAAATCGACACATTTTGGAAATTTTTGTTATTTTCTTGAATAGTATAATAAGTGTGATGAAACAGTAGGCAGACATAGATAAGTCAAATATATTAACATAACATACATGTAATTGGAAATCGACTCCTTATATCAGTAACTGTCGTGAATGATGATGTTCTCACTTTCTGCAAACCATATCAACTAGATAAGATTAACAATAAGTTGCTATAACCATGGAAGTATTATATGATAACCGAAATTATCAATACACTTTTTATAGATGTTGCTGCCCTCAATAATCCTTTGCACCAATTTATGCGATTCGTTTGTCGTCCTTGAGAACTATATATAATACTATAATAATAATTACAATCAAGTTGGTGTTATTCAACAATCCTATACATGCAATGTGTTCCCTTCAAGTTAAAACGTACTTTCGGAGAAAACATCCCGAAAATTGATAGTTGTTTACATATCTTTGACCTCACATTAAAGCCGATTTTAACATATGGCTCAGAAATTTGGAGAACTTGTACTTTTAATTTTTCGAAATGTCAAACAGACAGCCTCTTTGAAATTGAGAAAAAAATTAGTAAGTTTGATTGCGAGAACTTTTAAAAGTTTAAAGTTCTACAAATACATTCTCAGGGTAAATAAAAAGTCATGTAATTTAGCTGTTATGGGAGAGCTAGGTCGTACTCCATTGCATATTGACATTATTTGTTCTGTTCTTAAATTTTTACAAGCCTTGGTCACAAGTTTGGACACTCACAAATGTAATAAGTCATCTTGGCATTCTAATATTGTATATATTTTAAGATGAATTGGTGTTGATATGAAAAGTTTTGACATTGGAAAGGTTTAAAATATTTTGATTAGTAGATATAGGATTTACTGGAAAAATACTATAGACGATAATGCAAATGTTAAAAAAGGAAAAATGCGTACTTATTTTAAAGTTAAAAACATCTTCAAAAGGGAAGCATTTTTATGTCAAGTTAATAAATTCCAGTATCGAAAAAAGCTTAACTCAATTTAGAATCAGTGCTCATCAGTTAGCTATCGAGAAAGGTCGATATAAAAAATCGATAAAGATAAAAGATTTTGTGGGCAGTGTAAAAATATGCAAGTTGAAGACGAGTTTCATTTTTAATGGAATGCACTGCATACGAAAAGGGAAGTAATTTTATTCTTAATGAAACATGCATTCCATGTAAAAACTTCCCTTATATTTCAAAATACGAACAGTTTATTTGGTTGATGTCCTGTGAGTCTGAAAATGTTAATATGTCAGTGTCAAGATTTATTAGTACTTGTTTTGAAATAAGAGAAAATTTACATTCCAGAAACTAAACATGCTAAATAAACATGTAGTAGTGATTCAGTTTATTTTTTATGTATTAGAGAGAGTTAATATTCTATTTTATTTATTTTCAAACACCATCTTGTATGGAGCGTAGTTATTCCATCATTTATTTTTAATGTAATATATCTTAAAAATTACTGTATAATTAATACTATATATATATGTATATGCTCGGAAGCGGGCCCTTTAATTGGATTTAATGAATATTCTTCTTAAAAAAAATCATTCTTAAAGGGATCCCTAATTTTAAAAAATTACATATTTGATATTAAAATTTTTTTGTCGGAATTATGTCCTCAGAAACCAGAAAATATATGGTTGCCAGGCAATTTTCCACTATAATTGAATGGTTTCTAAGGACTTATGTGATGACATGGATCTCTGACCTTGAACAAGGGTCTATGTAATAGTTCATATAGTCCGAAAACAAAATATGTATGGTTGTTAAGCCATTTTAACATGACCTTGACTCCTTACCGTGTACCTCTCGACCAAATAGTGGTTTTGATCGTCCTGAACACTTTCCCCGTGTATTGTATGATTCTTTCTATTAACTTTTCTTACAAAAGCCAATAAATATGCCAACGGTCAAAGGTCAATGTCATCAATGACCTTTGATCTTTGGTTAAATTGAAGGTAATTTTATGCTCAATATTTTTCATATCATATTCATTCAATATATATATCATTTGTTTGTGTTATCTTAATAACATACTCAAATTTCTGTAGAAAAAAGAAAAAAAATACACATTTTAGGTCCCATAGCAACCATCCTGTCACCTTGAAACCCAAACATTCTGTTGTAATTTATTGATAAGAAACATTGAAACTTCTATTTATAGCCTCAATTTAAATGGAGACGGATGCATGATATATGTTTATTTGGTACATGCATAATGTGTAAAATTTGCCTTAGCAAATTCAATAAAAAGTTGCCCCTGCACATTCGGTTGTGACAATGTTAAGGCAAAACATTTTTTATTGCTGTTTTGTTTGTTAAGTTTTATATTTCTGAAAACAGATAACAGATATCATTTAACAAAATCTGGTCATCCTTCGGTATCACTGCAAAGTAGTTCACTGCTCATACCTCGAAATATTGACACCATTGACTTGGCTGTCGTGGTAACCCAATTATATAGTTATGCTTAGTTTCAGGAAAATCGGTGATCATGCGTGCCAGCCCCCAAAATAAAATGTTTGGTGATTATAGAGAATTGCTCTCAAACCCTACGATTGTTAAAGGACTAAATAAAACAAAATGTATATGCACATGGTTCAAATTTCATGAATATCAATTCGTCTCAAAATTTGAACAATACATTGAAAAAGAAAATGAAGTTCAGGTAAGTGACAATCGTACAGTTTACTATGCTCCCACACGAGGATCTAACAACAACCCATTGCATACGTAGTGTATTGAGCGGCAAACTAAAATGTTATTTAAATAAGACTTAGATTTAGGGTTGTGTAATTTAAAAAAAATAATCAAAGTAGACCAATCGTTGTTGTTGATTGGAGTTTCCTCCTTTCTTTTTTTGATAAACAATATTTTTTACGTCACTTTTTAAATACGTTTTCAGGTAATGAGAAATGCCAAATTAGTGTGAATGCTTCAACTACAGTTATTCAAGAAAAAAAAATCAAGATGATTCTTGTCACGGGAGAAATGAAAATCGACTCCAAAAAAAAGAAAGAAGAAATTTCGAATTACCAAGCCGATATATAGCTGTTTGTGTGGTGCGATTGATATCAGAAAAATGCGATGCAGTATGTTAAGATATTG